CGGTGTTAAGTTACTCATACAGAAACAAACCTCAAGGTCAGTTCAAACAGTCCGTGTGTGACCGCCTTTAAGATGTTGTTCCCTGGGCTCTACGGTCACGCAGCACTAATTCTCATACTGTTTTAGGTATCCCAAGAAAAAATCAACTTCCACGGTGTGGGCAGCCGGGAAGTAACAACCGATCGCACACTTCCAATAGCACACGCGAAGCCCTCCTGATCATCAGTCTCATGTATCCCTCTCACTATCATCATCTTCCTTCCCTAATACTGTCAGAACTATTCTGAAGGCTCATGTGGCATATGCCTGCCAACTGTCATCGGGACAGTAAATGTTAGTTGACTGACAGGATGAATCAGGTTGGAAAAAAGAAAGCTAGTGGTGGTTATGGTCAAACAAAAATATGGCTTAATCAGTCAGTGAAATAGACAACAGTTAGCTAGTTTAGGCCAGCCAGCCACGTAAGAGAGTCGACTGGTCGGCTGTCTGGTTGGGGTCCTGGTCTTGAGGATGGTAAGAACCAATGAAGGCTGAAGACAATCGCAAATATGGCTAGCTCAAAGTCGCTCTTGGTGATTTATCATATCCAATAAGATTCCACTGTCCTTCCATGTCACTGTTCTTTTTTCCTCACTCACACTTCAGTTTATTATCTTCTTCTTTTGAATCTCTCTACAACCTCCTTTCTTGCTTTGCGTACTACAAAGAGGAAGTGTGGCAACTCGAACTGCTGTACATCCGTGCAAAGTTCTACACTGAAACCAGTCAGCCAGTCAGAAAGGTTCTGAATTTAACTTTTCTTATTGACATTTACACCGCAATGGTGCCCAATGTAATAGAGGCTAGGATATGTCAAAACATTCACGCTCCCATCTGTTAAACCTTAAAAATTTGATTTATCCCGCAACATCCAAAATGGATGAACTTAATTACTCCTATGGGTTAAATGACATGATACTCTTGCAAATTATTTGAAGACCAAACGCGACACACATCTGGAGACATTGATCTCCAAATGAATAAGTGAAATCTCAGTAGTATACTGCTAAACAGTTAGTCGACGTTCGCATACTTTAAAAGACGATGGGAAATATTTTCTTAAAAACAATGTGATTTATAAATTATCCCCAAGAGTTAAATAACAAATGAAGGTTACTAGGCAGATTATCCCACTGTGGAATATCCTAACAGACTTTCAGACCAATATATAACATGCTAAAAACAAAGATACAATTGAAAAGCGATTTCAACAAAAAAAGATCACAGTTTCGATTACAGCTGCACACCTTTGATAAACACATGACAACAGAATACCACTAAGAATTCTGAAACTTATAATACATGGTGCATTGACTTAAGCACCTAGCATTTAGCCAATAGGTCCCGCTCTCGAGCCCCACCCTATGCACTTCAGCCTGGCTGGCTAACTGGGCAGTATCATCAGCAACAAGTGTAGTCTATATCCTGGTACATGAAAGATATGTTCCGTGTAACTAAGCTTAAACAACACCATACCTGGAATTCAGCAAAATGGAATACCAATCGATTTTAGTATTTCCCTTTGATCCTTGCAGCAGATAGTAGACAAACGGTGCATTGTGTAGTCTTTGGCACTAATTCATTAGGACTGTATTCTCTCCCATAATAATTTATTAAAGTTACTTCTGCTTTAAAGTATCAATTCTCTTATACACTTGCTACATTGTGGTCAGTGCAAAAGATGAATGATGTATGAAAGTGAGATGCGTCAATGATGAATTCATCATTTAAGAATTACTTTTGAATCACTGGACCTTACTTTATGTTAATTTCTGAACGATCAAAACAAAAAGGATAAATGATGAGACGATAATACTATTAAAGGATATCTTTAGGAAAAAATCAACAAGATGCTTACTAATACAGTGTTAGTGTAAAAGCCTAGAACAATTTCAAATAAAACTATCACAGGACAACTAGGCTATAATCTATTCCACTATATTTCCATAGTTACATAAAACGGATGATCTATCCATAGTCAGACCTATTTACTACATCTACAACAATCACAGGCAGTTTTTCATCATATTGACACATACTTCACCCTGCCATGTAAACTACCAGAGGTAAGAAAGTATCAAACACAGAGGTGATCGGTACTTCACAAACTTTCAGCCAACTTAACAAACGCTTAGTAGCGGGGTACGCCAAATGTTTGATGAGATATCTCGCTAACAAAAAACAAAAGATTTCTGAACCTATGCCGAAGTTTCATCAAACACTAACCTACTGAAACTGGAGATATATGAATTTTGCCTTTTTAAGTCCTGAACACACTAAGACCACATTCCTCGCCATAGGTAATAATAATTTGCAACAACACAGACTTATATACCAACTATATACTAAGCTTTTACAGCTAACGATTGAGTCACTATGTTTACGATGCCGAGATCAAAAGAAGTGGAATGAGATTGAACCCATGTCAGGGTTATTGAAGTGCAATCCCCTGCAGTCCCATACAAATTCCCGTAAATCAAACATAACTTATCAAACAGTCATACAATCACGCTAACTGACTGGCTAAGCAAAGACAGAGGAAAGACATTTTTAAAAATATTCAAAAGAACTATAATGAGCAGAAATATGCGAAATAAAAATAAGGACTATGGCGAAATGAGGGCTTAATGGATATGGGAGATTACAAATAGTGGATGCGTCTGTACCACTGAGAATGCAGATACACTGTTCAATTTGTATTAATTGGTCTTTCTAACTCAGATGCGTTCTCAAATAATTTTCTCGTCACGTAAATCCTGGTAGATGGAGTAGCGTCAAAGATGCGTCACTGACTTTGGAACAGATGACCTAGATTCTGCTTCATTAACATATATTCACCCAGTTTTTGTGGTATTAATGCCACCAGTAACCCCTCAAAGTGCACTCGCAAGCCAAGTATATGAGCGGAGCAAAAATACATCCTCGCTCCATTTACTCTAGAGGGCTCTTGTAATAAGCCGTACGTCAAACATTCATGTTATGCATACCATATACATTGTTGGAGTAGTTCACTTCTCACCACGCTTATGTATGCAGGAACTGCATAGAACCATGGATGTGCTGATTTCTGATTACTCCAAATAAAACTGCTTGTACACAATAACGTTCAACGAATACATCCATATCTCGTTATTCTATGTGGTTAATTTTCATGCAAAATGATTATACCTACTGGTGTCCGGACAGTGGTATCAGGCCACATGCAATGTGACATCCCAAAAGCAGATAAATTAGTGTAGAATTCTATACTTTGACTCCTTTAGGACTTCCACATATAATGCGAGAATGCTCCTGAAACAATGGAATCTAACGCTGACTTCAGTAAGTCAGCGTTCCGAAACCTATCGAAGAATCAAAACCAATTTAGTTTTCTGGGTCTGTTTGCCATAACTTTAGCCTGATCAACAGGTCCTGTGATTTCAAATGGACTGACGTTCCCGTCAGGGGAGTTCCTTATAATATGGTGAGATGGCTAACGATCCACACTAGTCTGGCAAAACAAACTCCTGCATACATACAACAACTAATCGAGAATAATTTATTAATATCCCAAAACTGCTGTAAACCACCAGAATCTGATGTTTTACTTCACTTCAAACGAGCAACAGACTCGATGACTTCAATAGGATTTTGAAGACCAATAATCATGTCCCACCTGAGTTTGACTATGAACAATGACACGTTGGAAAGTATTACAAAACAGTAAATACTCCAGAACACGTACTGAATATATTTGTTGGAAACTTTGTAAGTGTGTTACTGTCTGTCTGTCTGTCTGTTTTCGACATAGAACTTTGCACAAATGTGCGGAAGTTCAAGTCGCCACATTCCGTGTAGCACGCGAAGCAAGAGAAGAAAGTACAAGAAAAGCATAATAGAAACAGTGAGCAGAGGTGTGAGACAAAGGACTAATAAAGAAATACAAAACAGTTTCATCGAAGATCATAAGTCACAGGGAGTGGATGCATCTGCACCATTGAGAACGATTTTGAGCCATGTCACCAATTGTTTCCAACCATACATTTTTACCGTCCCGAGGTCCCCAGCCTGGAAGTCTACACCTTCCTACGTGGCTTAGACCAACTGTCGTGGATTTCATTGACTGATGCCAAGTTTTTGTTTGACCCCCGCTAGCTTTTTTCCAGCCTGACCCTATATCCGCTAACATTGCTCGTCGAGGGAGGCGATGGCTTGGCATACGTAACACATGTCCTAACCATCTCAGTCTTTGTAGCTTCACGACTTCGTCGATTGATTTCCCCTCCTTACCTAGAACTATACGCCTAACCTCCATGTTGCTCACCTTATTATGCCACTTTACACGGGAAGTAGAGCGCAGGCACCTATGATCAAAGACAGCTAGTCTTTTCATGTCTTCCACTCTCAGTGGCCAGGTCTCACCCACAGCCATAAAGGAGGACGGAGCGGACTGATGAGCAGGACACCCGCCCTGTGGTCGATAGTCAAACATCTCGTCTACGCCAGAGTCGGCGTAAACTGGCAAATGCGAAACGAGCCCCCTGTATTCGTGCTGAGATTTCGTCAGCGATCAACCCGTTGGGGGTGATGCAACTTCCCAAATAAGTGAAGCGGTCAACGTGCTCTACCACTTCACTTCCTATTTTTAAACTAGGCGTCGATGTAGTCCAGTCCTGTAACATCATCTTGCATTTGGCGGGAGCGAATCGCATGCCAAACATTCGCAGATTGCGGCTCAAGGTGTTTAGAAGACTCTGCATTTCGTCAGCGTCTTCGCCTAGAAGGACTATATCGTCTGCATATTCCAAGTCAACGAGATTGTTCCCCGGTAGGAAGTCAATCCCTGAGTCGCTGAAGTCACCTAGGGTTAAGTCCATTAACACATCTATGATGAAGTTGAATAGAAAAGGAGATAATGGGCATCCTTGACGGACACCACTAGTCGTCACCAGTTCAGATGACAGCTCGCCGTAAGCCCTCACCTGGCTGTATGAGTACGAGTAGAGTGCCTTAATCAGTGCAATATATTTTCTCGGAATTCCCTTTACAGCCAAGCATCTCCAGAGAACTTCTCTATCGACAGAGTCGAATGCTGCCTTTAGGTCAAGAAATATAATAACTGTTGGACGCCGGTAGGAATGCCTATGTTCTAGAATCTGTCGGAGGGTGAAGATATGATCAATACACCCTCTTCCTGGTCTAAAGCCTGCCTGGCTCTCTCGTGTCTGTGCCTCCCGAGCACCACTCAGTCTATGCATGATTATTGAACCTAGGACTTTAGATACTATATTAGGCAAGCTAATCCCTCTGTGATTATCACAGGAAGACTTGTCTCCCTTCTTGTATATGGGGATAATCAGTGACTTACACCAACCCGATGGGACTTCTTCTGATTCCCAGACGTTGCCTAGTACCTCAGTTAATCCGGACAGTAAGCTGTCTCCACCGTACTTAAATACCTCTGGAGTCATTCCATCAGGTCCCGCTGCTTTGCCTAGTTTCAGATTGGTGACAGCTTTAGTAACCTCAGTTAGTGTGTTACTATAAAATCAACCAGATTGAGTTTCGAATACAAAATTGTGTTTGGAGCAAAACAAGACAAAAACAAATCTGACGCGATATTATGTTTTTGGTGACACTGCAAAGTGCGTTAACTCCACAAATATCTCAGGTAACATGATGCCTGGATTCATTTTAGATTTCAGTCAAGTAATCTAGCTGTTTGGAAGAAAGCAGATAGTGGACACTTGACAACAAGAATTACAAAATAACACATTCAGGGTTGCTAATGAAACCAAATTTACCAATTGAAACATGAAGTCATCTACATAATTCGGACTTAATTAAGTAGTGGACACTAACAAAATGTCGTTGCACACATCCCCATTTATTTGGGATTTGTCAGGTTGTGCCACACTTATTGTGTAGCACTGGTGACACTACCCAGCTGGGCAGGTTGGAATGCGTGGAGCAGGATCCAAATCCCGAACCTACTGGTTAAAAGTCAAGTGCTTAAGCCAACAAGCCACACTCATCCGCATGTTTTTTTCACTAGACAACATCCACTGAATAAAGTTTAGTGCACAACTTATTCTTCATAACCAATTCGTGTAATTTCACAACCATATTGCAGGCAAACAGCTATACAGGAATCCAGACCTAATATGACAAGGTGGAAGGAGCAGCTAACAAGCTTCGTTAGAGAGAGAGAGAGAGAATACAGCTACATATTTAGTAAGCAAACATATATGGAAATAATGTGTACTACTGGCTACGCTATAGAGACTCAATGTATGAAAGTTTTAACGAGTTATTTCGGCGACTTAGTTTAATCACGTGCAAGTCAAAAACAGTCAACTGTAACAAGAGGAAAAGCTAAATAGGACAGTATATAGAGCAGAACAAGGTTTCACTAACAATCCAATCAAACTGTTGGCGTCACTTAGTTTACGTATTCCTGGGAACCACACCCACCCCACTATCATTAATACACTGAGTCACTGACTACATTTTGATCAGACATTTTGCAAATAAGCATATTTAGAACCGTTAAGTAAAATTAACAAAACAGCAAACCCACCTGTTGATAAGTTATTGGTGTCATTTTGGGTCCATTGCAACTGGCACTGTTGTCTCGTAGATCCTTTTTTGTCCCGACAAGTATGATGGGTGTATTTGGTGCATAATGACATATTTCAGGGTACCATTTAATGCGAACATTATCGAATGATGAGGGACTGACAAGAGAAAAGCATATCAAAAACACATCCGTCTGTGGGTATGACAATGGTCTCAGTCGATCATAATCCTCCTGACCTACAATTTATGCTTGTGTTAGCTCATCCAGAATTAAATAACGTCAGCGATACTTACCAGCAGTATCCCATAGGCCAAGATTTACAGGCTTTTGATCAACCATAACATTGGCTGAATAGTTGTCAAAAACAGTGGGGACGTATTCACCAGGGAAAGCATTAGTTGTATAACTGATAAGTAGACATGTTTTCCCAACAGCACCGTCACCAACAACTACACATTTGATGGCCTGCATGCGTAGTAATAGTCGAAATAGCTAGCCCAAGGCAAAATATTTGGGAGTAGCGGCCACTGGAGTTGAGTGTGTTTAAACAAATGGATCCGGCTTCATATTTTAGCAATTAAACGGCAAATGCTTATCAGTGAGAGCCTTATGAGAATATTTCAGTCCTTGAGGAAAAAATAAAAGCAGGAAAATCAAGTAGAATTACTTCAGATTGTAAAATACCAGCAAAACAAAGTGAAATCCAGTGCGCAGTATCATTTCTACAATCTGGTTCAAAACGAATCAATTTATTTGTGCTCTCGTATTGATTATAAGAGAAACGCTCCCCATATTCGAAAACGCTTGCGTATTTTACCCACCACTCAACTGTCGCAGTTTTGGTTGACTCTGAGGGGATTAGTCGTGTTTTGTAGTATGCCGTGTGTTAAGGTCGTGTTGCCTCTGTGAGTAAGGTTGCCCATTTAACACGTTAGTCGTCCAGTATGTCCAAAAATGGAGATAACAGTTATGGATAATGATTAGTGACAATAAGAGACGTTAATATAGTAGATTATGTATACTTGAAGATACACAACAGAAGGAGAAGCTGAGTTCAATGTACAACATACTGAATGTAGAAGCGAAGTAGGGTGCTAGGTAAGACAAAAGAAAACTCCACAACACACTGCAAAATCAGGCAAAACGGACTCCAGATAGCCAGTTCTCTATCCAGGAAGAAATCAACATTGAATAAACTAATAAAAGAGTGAAAAGGACCTAGACACCAAAGACGACAAACAAACAAAACAATGAGTCGATCATTTCAAAGGACAGTGAAATAGACCATCAATAGCTACAGTAATTATTACTGTTGTGGTTGTTGGCCTAGGATTGGGACAGATTAGCCAGCACATTAAATCTGGTATTTGCTCATAGTCTACTAGGTCATAGTTCCCGTCATAATTTTGGCGGTGTTTCACTAAAGATTAGTTTTGCTTACAGATATAGTCTTTCCTCAGTACCGATGATACAGAGTCTTGGCTTAACTATAGTTAAAAACAGAGCAACTTGTTATTATTATTATATCCTTTAATTCCTAGAGGAACATAGAGCTTTCAGCTGCGCACCTCCATTGCGTTCGGTTCTCTGCCAATGTTTTCACCCCACTCCAAGTCTGCCCACATGCTTTCATCTCCTTTTCCCATGACCTCCTCCAAGTCACCCCACCTTTGCACTGACGACCAACTCACCGCTTCGGGTTCTACTCGAGAGCTTGTCTAGTGATGTCATTCACTTGATGGTTTCCTCAGAGTATGGCCAGCCAATCCATCTCCATTTCTTCCTGCCTATTTGTTTCACAATCGGTTCCAGTTTGGTTCGCTCATCGCAAAAACTCCCTCTTGCTGATCTTTCCTGGCAGGCCATCTGATCTTGAGGGGTATTGAGCGAAGACAACTGTTAATGAAGGTCTGTGGTTTGTTTGAGATGCTCTTTATGACGCGCTGGACAAGTCTGTGATCCGTATAGCAAATAGCACTGACCGACTTCACATTGGAGTTGAAAATCCGGATCTTATTTTTGATGCTGAGTGCTGTTGACCTCCACACAGATTTGAGAGTAATGAAAGCTTGTCTTGCTTTTCTGATTCTGGCTTTGATGTCCTCGTCAGTTCCGTCTGCCTGTAGTTGAGACGATGCTTCCCAGGTAGGTGAAGCAGGTTGTTTCTTTCAGGTTCTTCCCACTTATGCTGATTGTTGTCTGTTGTTGTTGTTGTTGCTGTTGATGTTGGCTAGGAATCTTCATCACCCCTGTTTTATGTATGTTCACCTGAAGTCCTATCTTTGATGCTTCTTCTGCCAACTTGTTACTTTTCACTTGCATATCTTCCAGTGTTTGTGGGAAATCAGACATATATCATCGGCGAAATCCAGATCCTCCAAGTCTTTTGCGTCAGTCCATTTTATGCCTGTTCCCTCGTTGGTTGCCGTTGTCTGTCGCATTATCCAATCTACTGCAATCAGGAAGATCATTGGCGATAGTAGGCAGCCTTGCCTCAGTCCAGTCCTCACTTCGAAGGCTTCCGTAAGTGTACCGCTGTGGATTACTTGGCATACAGCATTGTCGTACAACTGTTTGATGAGATGTATAATTCGCGACGGCACCCCTTGGTAGTAGCGAAGTAGTTGCCAAATCACCTCTCGATCGACGCTGTCGAAGGCCTCTTCAAAGTCGATGAAGTTGAGATGGAGAGATGACCGTCATTCCAAGCTTCGTTCACTGATGATCCGTAGTGTGGCAATTCGATCAATACATGACTTGTTTCTCCTGAATCCAGCGCGTCCCGGTCGAAGTTTTTCATCCAGGTTAGCTTGTTTGATTCTCTTCAGGATGATGCGGCTTAGTATTTTGCTTATGATGGACAAGAACATAATTCTGCACCAGTTCTTGCATAGACTCAAGTCTCCTTTCTTTGGTAGTTTGAATAAGTATCCTTTCTTCCAATCCTCGGTACTTTGCCCTCTTTCCACACCTTCTCCAACAATGGCGTCATCAAGTACGCTGTTGTCTCTGGGCCCATTTTCAATGCTTCTGCTGGGATTCCATCTGGTCCTGCTGCTTTTCCGGTTTTTAGCATCTTGATTGCATTCAGGACTTCTGTTCTCGTCGCGGGTTTGATGTTAACTGGTAATTATGCTTCTGTTGTTGGCATTGTTGGGTGCGTTATAGGTGGCGGTCGATCCAGAAGTCTTTTGAAGTGTTCAGCCCAGTGTTTCCTCTGTTCCATTTCTTTGGTGATTGAATTTCCATGGTCATCCTTTACTGGCTTAATCTGTGTCGAACTTATCCTTGTTAGGTGCCTACTTGTTTGGTAGAGTGTGGCGAGGTTTCCTTTGCCTGCAGCTTGTTCTGCTTCACTTGACATGGCTTCATAATATTTCCTTTTGTCTTCCCTGGCACTCTTCTTTACTCTTTTGTTAAGTGTATTGTAGCTTTCATTCAGCTCCTGTTTTTGTTGCTCGTCGGTGCACTGGAAATCTTTTGTTTCACCATCCCTCTCTCTTCTATTAGTTTCCAAGTGTCCGCAGTGAGCCACTGTTTGTCCTGCCTCTTCTTTATGCCTAGAACTTCCATGCAGGTTTGACTCCACACCGTTTTCAAGTTGTCCCAGTGCTTTTCGACGCCGACCTCTTCGCTAGTATTGATTTGTGTCTCGAATTTGTCCCTTATGTTTGCAATGAAGATGTCATTTGTAGCCTGGTCCTTAAGTTTTTGAGTGTTGAACTTGGCTTGTGGTCTATCTGCAGCTCCTGTTTCTCTGAAAGCTTTTAATTTGATTTGGATTGTCCCTTGTACGAGATAGTGGCCTGAGCCAACGTCTGCTCCTCTTCTTACTTTTGTGTCCATTAGGCTGCGCTTCCACTTCCTTGACCAGCGTTGAGATGCAGTCAATTTGGTTTTTGGTTTGCCCATCTGGTGACACCCATGTAGCCTTAGAGATATCTTTGTGTTTGTATACACTGCCACCAATCACTAGTTTGTTGAAGGCGCAGAAATCGGCGAAGAGTTCTCCATTTTCATTCATTTCTCCGAGAGCTTCTCTACCCATGATGAGTTTTCTTCCTGTGTTGTCTGGTCCCAGTTTGGCGTTCACGTCTCCCATTAGTATTTTAATGTCGCCAGTTGGAGTATTGTCCATTGTTGCCTGCAGTTGTCTGTGGAATTCTTCTTTCTTTTCGAGGTCTGCGTTGTTTGTGGGTGCATAACATTGTATAATTGACACTTTCCTTCCTTTGGAGTTGAATCTGGGGGTCATTATCCTGGGCGAGATCGCCTTTCATTGCATCAGGGCTTGCGTTGCCGTTGGTGACATCATGATTGCCACGCCCTCGATGTGCGTGTGGTTATCTTCTGGGTGACCGGAGTAGATCACTGACTCACCCGTTGACAATTTGGTGAGTCCATTCCCATTCCATCTGCTTTCACATATTCCCAGCACTTGGATTCCGTATCTTTTCATCTCGTTTGCGATCTGGGCAGCTTTCCCTATCTCGAACATAGTGCGGACATTCCATGTCTCCACACAGACTTTTTCTTTTGGCGCAAGGAGGTTATTCGTGCTGAAGTTTCTGTAGCAACTCTGTTTTCAGGGTGGGGTTGTTAGCCTCACGACTAAGAAAGGAATGGTTACATTAAGATAAAGTTTAAAGAGAAGCGACCTTTTGGGTTGTTCCCCTTAATATCGGATAACAAGGGATAAAACAATCAGAGCAACACCAGCAAAAGGAAAACAATTCGCAGCAAAAATGGCAAAAAACGACAACAACGATACAATACAACAACATGCAATATAGTTCAGCACAGTTAACTAAAATTATCCCAAAACCATAGACTCACTGCCTTGGCACAACTTGAACATATAAATCCAACAATGTATACAATTAGAGATATGAGTTATTGTTAAAAGTCACAAAATGTCAAAAACTTTGTTATAGGTATGTCAAACAAACACACATATTATATGGATACATATCACCTCCCCTTTTGAGGAGATTGATGATTAGTAGGGTGTTTTCTTGGGGGTTTATCTGGAACCGTTGAGCTTGTTGTTGACGTCTGTCGCTTCGTCTGCCTGTTGGGTTTGCGGCTTCGGCTTTGTCCGGAATTGTCTGACGCTTTATGTTTCCTGGCTGCATTGCATAGAGAATTTAGTGGGACATCAGCCAGATGCAAACGATCGAACCAATCAAGTCCCAAAAGATTTAAATCACTCTTGGTGACGTAGCAAATTCCTGTGAATTTGATGTTACGGAATGAAACAGAACATCTGAGTTCACTAATTAGTTTGGGGCCCCCACCACAGGCGCTGATACGAGTCTGGGAGGTATTTGTGATAGATGGTCTGCCAATATCATTCCAAAGTTTCTCTGATATAACAGTAATATCAGAGGCGGTATCTAGCTGCAGACGTGTATCATGACCATTCATCTGAAGATGAAAATATTTCCGTATACATGGTGTTGTGACTTGAC